ACCTTCTGCTTGTTTCTTTCTCAGAGAAGCTTCCAGAACCCCCTTGAATTAATCAGAATAGGAAATATCTCTACACATCAGATCGATGCTTTCTGCACTAAGTCTGCAAACTGGCATCTTACTTTAACAAGAGTTTGCAGACTGCAAAGTGGCCGTAGGGCTATCAAGAAAGGCAGGAGAGAGATCACCTTGATGTGAATCAGTTGGGGGCTTTTCCAGTCCCTCTCCAGGGTTTCAATTTTCCGGCAATTTAATTTTTTATGAAATTTGTGTCAGAAGCTGCAGTAGCAAATACTTTTTCCTTTGGCTATTAACTAGTGACGCACAAACTAAAAAAACCCAAACTGAAACACAGGGGAAATCCATACCCAGCCTGTCAATTCGTTATACGGCTTTTCTACTTATTCAGAGATGGTGGAAAGAAATGATTTTGTCGCCTGAGAAAAATACTATATAAATGGGGGCTTATGTTTTCCTCTGAGCTTGCTTAAATCTGTGTTTGAACTATAATAAGAACTATTGGAATATATTTATTTATATCCTGCATTTTACTGATGAAATAAGAGCAGCTAAAAACATAGTGTGGGGGGCAACAATCATTGAAAAACAATTAAGTATTAATAAAATTAAAACTGTATAAGATCTCTTTAAAACATACAGAAAATCACAACAAAAACAGCAAGGCACCAGCCTCCTCATTAAAAGCAGAAGGAAACAAGGAGGACAACAAGGAGGGAGCCAGTCTAACATCTCTAGGGATTTGCCAAGTCTGGAAGCAGCCACAGAGAAGGCTCTCTCCCGCATCCTTACCAAATGTGCATGTGAGAAGGGACTCCCCCCAAAATCTCCGAGTCTCAGCATGTTTTTATGAAGGAATATGGTCATTCAGATAGCTTGGACCAAAGTCATACAGGGCTTTACAGGTCATAACCAGAATTTTAAATTGTGCCAGAAAGCAGACCAGTAGGCAGTGGAGCTGTTGTAACCAGTGCCAGTCAATAATTCTGTCTACAGCTCTCTGAGCTAATTTGAAGTTTCTGAGCACTTTTTAAAGGCAGCCCCACATTACAGCGATCCAAATGGGATGGAACTAAGGTGTGTGTCACTGTGGCCAAATCAGACATCTGGAGAAACAGGCGCAGCTGGCGCACTAGCTTTAACTGTGCAAATGCACTCCTGGCCAACACAGCGACCTGGACATCCAGGCTCCGAACTGAGTCCAGCACACACAAACTGCAAGCCTGTGTATTCAGGGGGAACGCTACCCCCATCTAGCACCGGCTGAATCCCTATTCCCTGGTCTGCCTTCCAAAAGACCAAGAGCACCTCTGTCTTGTCTGGATTAAGTTTAAATTTGTTTACCCCCATCCAGGCCATTATTGATAGCAGACACTGGTTTAGAACTCAGACAGCTTCCTTGGATTTAGAGCAGGGTGTCATCAGCGCACTGGTGACACCGAACCCCGAAACCCCAGACCACCTCTCCCAGTGGTTTCATGTAGATGTTAAATAGCATGGGGGACTGAACACAACCCTGAGGGACCATGCAGGCAAGCTACCAACCAAGATGTCAAACAGGAGTCCCCCAGCACCATTTTCTGGGTCCACCCCTCCAAGAAGGAAAGGAGCCACTGTAAAACAGTGCCTCCAAGTGCCATTCCAGCAAGGTGGCCCAGAAGGACACAATGCTCAATGGAATTGAAGGCCACTGAGAGATCCAGCAGAACCAACAGGGTCACCCTCTGTCCAATTCCCAGCATAAGTCACTCACCAAGGTGATGAAAGCAGTCTCATCTCATAACAAAGCCTGAAATCAGATTGAAGTGAATCTAGATAATCTGTCTCCTTGAGAGAATGGCAGATGAAGGTGATGGACTACATGGAATTGGCGGAAATGACCGGCAGAATCCGAGACCAGGGAGAAGAGTCGGTGGAAGAAGATTGGAAGAAATTTAAAGTCTACTTACAGAAATACTGTAAAATTAATGAATGTTAGAATGATGTTGGATAAGAAGTTAAGTGGTTTTTAGCTGTAATGCTATAAAGGAATATGAAAAAATGGATTATTAACAGGTAAAAATTTAATGTTATAATACTTTAAGATTAAAGACTAGGATAAACAAAGAGGGAAAGGATTTGTTGAATTAACAAATTGAATTGGAATACAAAAAAGGGAGGTGTGAGGAGGTCCGGGAAACAAGCAAATGAAAGATAAGTAATGGAAAGATGGAATTGTTTTTAACTATTTTTATTTTGTATTTTTCTTTTTTTCATTTTGTAATATTTTGAAAATCTTAATAAATATCTTTTTTTTAAAAAAATCTGTCTCCTTGAGAAACCCCTAAAGCTGAGATACCGCCGTGCCTAGCCCCAAAATGGGATGTTGGAAATTGGCTGATAATTATCTAATATGGTGGGATTCAAGGCAAATCACAGGTATGTAATATCATGGAGCTCAGTCTAGTTGTGAAAATGTGCATGTGTGCGGCTATCACTGTTTCCACCCTCAGATTTCTGTTGTTGTTGCTCTGGGGCAAATTGAAATTGGTGTCACTCTGCCCCACCAAGTCCTACTGAGCAGCATTACCTGCACACTGAAAGATCTAGAGCTGCCTCAGATATGATTCTTGCAATTCCATTCTTGATGTCCCTTGGTACTTCATGTCACTCCCTTTGAATTGCATCAATGGATCCATGTGGTTAATGGAGATCAGAACAGGCAGGCTCTTCTCAGCTTGGAATTTGGAGTTCCACCTAGCCTACAAGCTGTCACAGTACCTCCTCCTCCTCCTCCAAAAATACTGGCAGTGCTTGTCCCTAGCCTAGGGCATTCACACACAGCTGGGGCATAATCTTGGCATTTTTGCGCTCCCAGCATCTCAGTTTACTTCCACCTGCCCTGCAGCTCTGCTTTCCAGTATGCACAGCCCATTTACCAAACTAATGTGACATTCCTGCGTGTCGCCAGTGACCAGCCATTCCTGTTCAGCTGCTCCATTCCCAAAAGTTCTCCTCTAAGTACACTACTGCATACAAATTGCTTGGAATTGCAAGTGGGGAGAGGGCTGTTGCATTTGATTATGTATTTTAATTATGTATGGACTATATTTATTAATAATGGATTTTATACTTCTAAACTGCATAGAAACCATTTTGGCATGCAAGAGGTACATAATAATTCAGGTGCTGCTTGTGGGCTTCCCTTTGGTGAATTTGCTTGGCCACTATAAGAACAGGGTGCTGAACTAGCCCCCTATCCCCTTCCTGCTTTGGCCTCATTCAGCAGGGCCTTTCTTGTTCTCCTGAGGCTGTTCTAGACCTGCTGTTATAAAAGGTTAGCGGCAAGGCCTTTTCCATGGCGACACCTATGCTATAAAATACCTCCCTTGGGACATGCAAATGCCCTTCAGACAAGCCACCAACTCAGTTCCTGTCTTTCTGGAGGCCTATTCCTATATCTGCATTATTTGGCTAGGGGATGTGGGTGGTGCTGTGGTCTAAACCAATGAGCCTCTTGGGCTTGCCGATCAGAAGGTCAGTGATTCGAATCCCCACGACGGGGTTAGCTCCCATTGGTCTGTCCCAGCTCCTGCCAGCCTAGCAGTTCAAAAGCACACCAGTGCAAGTAGATTAATAAGTACCGCTGCGATGGGAAGGTAAACAGCTTTTCTGTGCGCTCTGGTTTCCGTCATGGTGTCCTGTTGCAGCAGAAGTGGTTTAGTCCTGCTGGCCACATGACCCAGAAAGCTGTGGACAAACGCCAGCACCCTCAGCCTGCAAGTGAGATGAGCACCACATCCCAGTCACCTTTGACTGGACTTAACAATCCAGGAGTCCTTTACCTTTACTTATTTGGCTATTTTGTACACTGATCCCACATGAAGCCTCAACGGGCTTTACTCCTGTCCTAAAAGTACAATTTTGTGCATGGATACTTGGAAGCCCCAGAGTTCAATGAAACTTCCTCCCTTGAACTTCTAACCACCATTGCTCAGAAGTCCCATTGAATTCAATCGGGTTTATTCCCAGGTATATTGAGTTAGGGGCTGCAGCTGGTTTAGTCTGTATACTTTTAAAAACAGTTCTAAGGTATAATCGTTCAAACAATTTTTCTCTCAACTTTCTGAGATCAGTTCCAAGAGTCCTGCCATCTGTTGTTGTTTAGTCGTTTAGTCGTGTCCACCTCTTCGTGACCCCATGGACCAGAGCACGCCAGGCACTCCTGTCTTCCACCGCCTCCCGCAGTTTGATCAAACTCATGTCAGTCAAGAGTCTAACACTCAAGAGTCTACAGACTATAAAAACTGGCTGGTGGAGGAGTGGAGTCGGTTGCCATGACTACAACTAGGCCTCCAAGGGCCCAAGCGCCGGCTTCCGGCTTCCTTCTGGCGCTAAATCCCCATCATTACCTGCGCTCATCAGCCGCGCTGTAGCTTTGTGATTGGTCGATCTCGGGGCTTACCAACACGTTTAGAGGAAGGGGGGGTGAATTCCTAAGGGACCGTTCAAGCCAAATGGGTTGCCAGGAAAAAGGCAACGCCGTTTCCCCTCCTCTCCTATCATGGTTTATTTTTATACAAATTTTATACAAACAGTTTAGGCATTCCGAAGTAGAAAGCGAATTGTTTCCACCGCGTTAATAAAATAGACCACACCTCATGGAACGCGCCACGCACTCAGAATGGAAGGCGGGAAGCGCGCGCGCTGTGACGGTTGAAACGCTTTCTCTCTTCCCCCCCCTCGCGTCATTGAGCAAATGGTACACCCCAACCGCCCGGTCCTGCTCCTCCAGAGTTGCCAGTCCGCCAGCCCGTCTCCACTTCCCACGGCTGGTGCGCTCTCAACGCAACTTGCTTCTTCTTTCTCCCTCCCCGCGCGCGCTCTGCCGATATGCAAATAGCGGGGCTCCGGCAGCCAACGGGAAGAAGAGGGCCCGCCACGCCGCGCGGCGATTGGCCGGCGTCGCGGGCAGCCGGCAAAGGCTAGCGGGTTAGGGTGCCCCCTTGCGGCTGAGGCCGAAGCGGCGGTGTCGGTGTGAGGCGCGGGCGGCATGAGCAGGAGGCACCGCGGCGGCGGCTGAGGCCGCGGCGGGGCGGGACCGTTGCCGAGCTGAGGAGCCAGGAAGGAGCCAGAGATGGCGGTGGTGGCGGCGGTTCCGGTGGCGGCGGCGGGTTCAAGCGGGCCGCCGCTCCTGGCCGCTTCCGTCCTGCTGCCGGCGCTGATGCTCTTGCTGCTCCCGCCGCAGCCGCCTCACGCCGTGGAAGGCGCCGGCCTGACGGAGAACGTGATCTGGGCGGTCAACGCGGGCGGGGAGGCCCATGTGGACGTCCACGGCATCCACTTCCGGAAGGACCCCCTCGAAGGACGGGTGGGACGAGGTGAGAACGTCCAGACGGGCCTGGTCAGCCTGTGGAACTCACTGCCACGGGAGTTGAGGGGGGACGCGTAGTTCAATATCTCCCATCACCACCACCAGGAATAATACACCTACACGTGAAGGATTGTCCTTAGCAATCGTAGTCTCTACACCCACATTTTATTTTTTTAAAAAAGGACCTAAGGCAGCCAACTGACTATAGCAGGGAAAGGGGATCCAGCATAGGTTTTGCACTACTGCCCCAAAATGGGGAGTTGTAGCCCAAAACATCTGGACCAACCCACCCCTTTCCTGGAAAAAGGTTGCCTTAGGTGGCTTCTGTTAAAAGCAGCAGGGAGAGATGGGGGTGGTTTGTTGGGTGTAATAGTAAAATGCAGCTTTCATGCGCAGGGGTAGGATGCCTGATGTGGTAGCGGTGAGAACAACTATGGCGCCCTCATACCAGCTCTTAGAGCATTTGTTGCAGACACTGGGTGCTAGGTAGTCATCAATGGTTTTTTTTTTTTTTTTTACTTTGCACCCACCTTTAATCTGGACATGTGTTTGGTGGCCCATTTCTTAATTTTCTGCTGTATATTTCTATGGTGGAAGTGCTGCTGCTGTGACTCACCTTGGATCAGGCTGTGACCAGGTAGGGTCACAACTCACCAGTTGAAGACAGATGAGGGTAGAGGCTTATAAAGTTATGCATGGTGCATATAGTTGCTTTTCTTGTTTGGTGCTAGAATTCAGAGTTGTCAATGGAGGCTGTTGGCAGATAGGTTCAGAATTAGGAGCGCTTCTTCATATAACACATAATGTGGACTTTGACAATTTGGTGCCCACCAGTTGTTTGGGACTACAATGCCCATCAACCCCAATCAGCACATCCATCTATGATGCTGAGGCTGGTGGAAGTTTTAGCTTAAAATGACTAGGTTGAGGAAGGCTGCTATAATGGAACTTGCAGTTGTTAGAAGGCATGGCATAGCCAGCCACTAGGTGGTTTTGTGTAGGCATACCTACACAAATCTTATCAATTGCTGCTTGCCATGTTAACTACGTGGAACTATATGCAGAGGCAGCACATCTGTGAATGTGATGCAACTAGAGTGGCTCCTTTGGAGGCAGAATGCTGAACTAAGGGGTCTTTGGTCTGGTTCAGCAGGGCAATTCTTTATATTATTACTCCAGCAAGTCTGCTGCTGCTTCCTTTCCTAAGAGCCCTTTCCACTGGAATTATAAAGCCATTGCTCTTGTTTAGCTCCAGATTGACTGAGCTGGATTAATGTCATTAGTAGCAGTAAGATGCCATGTGGAATGTTCATGCCTGCTAACATGAATTGGAAGCACTAACTGAGAAAGAAACTACCCTGCTCTTAACAACAAAACTCTGGCTAAAGTGGGTTATGTGACCTTATTGTTACTGTATGATGCAATAGTGGTTAATAATAGTTTGAAGCTGGTGTAGCAGCTGAGATGGTAGCCTGGAAAGTCCCCAGTTCAAATATTACCCCAGCAGTGAACTCCCTGGGTTGCTTTAGGCAAGCTATTCTCTGATGCACAGCCAGTCTCTTACCCCACCCACCGAGGTGCAAACTTGGGACAATGGCCTACCCTTGCACAGTTGTTCTGATGGTTCTGAGAGAATGTAGGCAAAATGCTTAGAACACTCCAAAACACTTGAGTCAATTGCAAAAAAAATCATATTACTTGCCATATAAATTCTAGTTTTCTTTATGCTAGAATAAAGTATTGTCTCTGCTTTTATTTTTTACTTGTTGAAAGCATTCTTACCCCCAATCCCCCAATTTGCAGCTTTAGAAAGCCCTCAGAGCAGCTTAAAGACCAGTTTTAAAAAGAGAGAATCCCTGTCCTCAGGGTTTTGTTTTTTTTGTCCTCTGGGCTCCTGCCTTGTCTCCTGGGCAAGTTGTTTTTTGTCCCACATTCCACCTCTCCTGCACCCATATCTGCATTCACAGAACCCCACCATATTTCCTATGCTGTCATGATGTCAACTCTCCTTTCTTTAGAAGTAGAAATTCAAAGCAGCACAATATTACTCCACCTTGCCACTCTCTTGAGCTATGAAATGAAGGGAGTGAACACATGCTTAGGGTAACCCATCTCCTGTGACCTTGAAAGGCTGCTCCCACTGTTCCTCCTGTTTGCTGCAATGACCTGCTTCCCTTCGTTCTGCTCTTCCTTCACCCAGGACTGAGCCAGCTTCTGTCTCTTTTGCTCCACACAACCCCTCCATTTGTGTCCTCTTTTCACCCAGATCCCTTTCTAAATGCACACTGCATTGGCCTCTCTTGCGGCTGGACTTTGTCCCTTCAGGGGCTGTCCCCCTTTCCCTTATAATCCGCGTGGCTAGCTTATGAACGGGGAACAGCAAACATGGGGACTGGACACTTAATGAGCATGTGGTCTGCTCCCATTTTGGTTGGTGCACGACACAGGGTGGGGTGGGTTTCTGTAGAGATGGGTGGGGTGACTGCTGACTCTTGCTAAAATGAGTCCCACGAAGGTTCCAGGTGCTTTTCTTGGGAACCGTTTGTGGTTACTGTAAGCCGGAAGCTGCTCATTATCAGACTCATAGCTGCTTGTGTTACAAGACGGCCCCAACCATTTTTTTCCTTTTTATTTACATATTCACTGTTAACCTTCTCCTTCCTTCTGTGCTGTGCTGATCCTTTCAGGTGTTGGAGGACAGCATATGTTAAGTCATTGCTCAGCTTCTTAAAGAGAGCCCCTTGTGTTCGCTGTCATTTACCCAGAAGTTCACAATCCTTCCAGGCTAATTTCACCAAGGTGCATGTGCGTTTTGCTTTCTCTCTCGCTTGGCTGCAGTTTTTCTTCTTACATCTAATCCAAACTCTTGGCTTACGCTGGCTGCTGGCGTCTGTGCCTGCTAATTGTCAGGTAGCCAGCCAAATCTAGGCTGAGAGGCAAACTTCTGCAAGGAGATTTCAAGTGTACAAAGGACTTTGCCACAACACTGCCGTGCACAGTTGTACACTTCCGTCTCGTTGGGGTGGGGAGGCATGATGGGGAAAATGTCTTAACAGACTCCATGATTGTGCAATACAGGTTGTAAGCTGCAGTCATGTTTCTAGTCTACCATGCATTCTAGTCTTGCTCAATATCTTGCTTAGCAGAGGGTGGAGATTTCAAGGAAGCACATTTGGATGAAATGTTAGGAGACACTTGCTAATGATTAGAGCTGTTTGACAATGGAATAGGCTGCCTTGGCAGATGGCAGGCTCTCTGTAAGCAGAGGTGGGGTGGTTCTCTGAGGTGTTGTAAGATTCCTGTACTGGGTATTGGGGTTGGACTAGATTACCTTTAGAATCACTTTCCAAATTTAAAGTTCTAGGATGTGGTTTTGAAGTATATCCCTTTCTTGTAATCATGTTGCAGAAGCTTCTTGTCTTCTTGTTTCAAATATTCTTAGCACCATTGTACCAAGTAAAAATCCAGATTTCTCACTCAGAGCCATACCAAGTTAGTACAAATATTGCTTACCTTGAATAGTTAAGTGTCACTGCACTGAAGCGTTGCTAAAGATTTGTTTTTTCTGCACGTACAACCTGCCTCCTCCCTTTCAAATTGCTCTGTTCGGCAAGAAATGAGGACTAAAAACAATTTCTTTTACAAGCAAGAGCAATTCTGATTGCTGCACCTCAAAAGTTATTGTAGGACTGGAATAGGTTCAGAAAAGAGAAAACAAAATGATCAAGGCTGGAACAACCCCTCCTACATGAGGAAGGTTACATTGGTTGGAGCATTAACTTTAGAAAGAAAATATAGTGATGGCATTGAAAAGTTTTGCATGGTATGGAGAAAGTGGACAAGGATAACTTTGCTTCCCACTCTCATAATACTAGAACTCAGAGCCATTCACTGAAGCTGAATGTTGAAGCTTCAGGACAGAGAAAAGAAAGTACTTCTTCACACGGTGCATAGTTAAACTCTGGGATTCTTTCTCACTAGATGTAGTGATGGCCACCAACCTGGATGGCTTTAAAAGGGTTTTAGACAAGGTCATGGAGGATAATGGCTATCCGTGGGTACTGGCCACAATGCCTATGCTCTGCCTCCAGTGCTGCTGGAAGTCACAAGTAGGTAGAGTGCTCTTGCACTCATATCCTGATTATGAGCTTTCCAGAGGAGGCATGTGTTTGCCCAATGTGGGAACAGAGTGATGAACTTGGTAGACCTTTGATCTGATCCACCGGGCACTCTTTATGTTCATCGGAGTAAAGTACTCCCTTGCTTAACTTTTAGTGTGGGTCTGTGACAAATGTCACATACTCTCTCTAGGCTTTTGATAGGGACTCTTCTTTTATTCTTTAGATCAGGGTGTGTATGTACTATAAAATTTGCTGCTTGCTTATATTGTAGCTTTGCTGTCCGAAGCAGCATCTGTATATTCTGCAACGTTCATTTCATGCAATAAGCCAAACTATTCCTTTTGCCAGATAATTTCTTGTGGGTATAAGGTTATGGACAAACACATATTCATAACAAACACACATTGTAACTATAGCAAAATGTCCTAAACCTCTTGGTAGTGCTTGCAGGAGTACACATAAGTGCAGGACATTCATGTGGGTTCAGACACACCTTGTCACACTGGTTCTGAGCACAGCCTTCCTGGTAGCTAAAATAGCCAAACCAACAACATGTCTATTTCCAAAGTGCTATGAGGTGGGTGGGAAGGAAGGAACAGACTGTCAGTGAACTCAGGACCATTGGTGTCACTGTGCTCAGGCAGGTGTTTGAAGTGGCATAGGGCTAGACCGCATGTAAGCCTCCTTCAAAGCTCCATCAAAGGTGGGGCTGGCAGCAGTTTCCTCCTGTATTTACAGCTGCAGAGAGGGGTTTGACTCTGTACTCAAATCTGTAGCCCAGCAGAAACACAGAACTCATACATTAACCAGTCTTTATTCTGAAAGAAAAGTCGAGAGAGGAATTGGCCTGTTTTTCTTGTGGGTGATCCACTCACCCCCACCGTTTTCAGTTTGACCATTTCCTCCACCCCAAACTATGCTACTCATTGCTAACAAAAGCAAGGAGGTGGTGATGGTTTTAATTTTCTATCATTCATACAGGCTTTCTTTGGAAGAGCTATGTTTGGCTGCTTCTAGAAGTATTTCTCTATGAGTCCACAGCTGTTCTAGCTGCTCGGCTTGTATGCACACTGCAGTTTGCAGCAGGCCTTTCTCAAACTGCTGATAGCTGAGGCATCCCCCACCCTGGAAAGCATTACTTTTAGAAGGAAACAATACACACTTTCATAACCCTCAGAAGAGCCCAAGCTCTGTGTTACTTGGTTCATGCAGAGGTGCAGTGGGCAGCCTCCCCTGAAGGAGTTGTTTGTGGTGTTTCTGCACTCGGGAGTCTTTGGATTATTCAGTTGCTCCCATATAGCCGAGTGGTCCATCCCTCAGAAGAGGCTGATGGAAAGGAGAGCCGATTGGAGCAGCTGATCTGGCAGGTGCCCAGCAGTAACCTCTAGGGGTAGTGTGTTGGTAGCCCTTAAATTTGATTATGAAAATTGCAAAGTCTTCTGTGGAAGCATAACAAACTTCACGCCTCTGCTTGGTCATGGTAACATAGGCCCAGATATCTAATCATGAAAAAGTGGGTAGTCCAATGTCATTTCTTCGAGGTACATGGAATTCCCCTAAAGTACAGCTAACTTGGGCCTCGTAACACTGTGCATAAAAGCTTTTTCTCCCCACACCCTGCCCCAAATTCAATGAGAGAGACTAGTTGCTTCTGGCATGTAGAGCAAGACTCCAGTGCCCTGCAAAACTGTGAAGTGACTCTGTGGTCTTGTGTCAGAGGTTTGCTTGGAACACAAAAGCTTCTCAAAGATCATCTTTTTGAAAGAGGAACATGTAGAGGGGATTATCATTGCTGACTCAGACCCAACTGAAAGCTCAGCAAGTGGTCCCCAAAGAGGACCGGTTCACCTATGTGTTTATCAATTGTGGATCGCAGCATCAAGTGTCTCTTTCATGTGAGAGTTTGTAAGAACTTCCACCCAAGGAGTTCATTTGTGTTCATCACTATCATTTCAGATAGTGACATCTAGAAATGAGAAAATAAGGCATATATGTGCATGTGTGACATAGTTCAGGGGTGGGGATTTCTTTCGAATTTCATGGTCCAGGGCCAAATTTCTTTGTGAGCAAACTTGGCGGGGGGGGGGTATGCCAGTGGTGGGCAGAACCAGAGGCAAAAGTGGGCATGCTGTATTCCATCCATGCAAAAGTCAATGGTTTCTACACACTTACACCTCCATATCCAGGTAAGCAAGAGGCATTGTTAGAGCACAAGGATACAGTCCACCCAGGTAAAAACCCTGAAGGTGCAGAGCAGGACGTGGAGAGAGCCCTGAGGGCCAGGCAGAGAAACACAGAGGGCCACATTTAGCCAATGGGCCTGAGGTTCCCCACCCCTGCTGTAGTCTTTCTCACAGAGTGTTCCAGCCACCTGATCTGCCCCCTGATCTAGGACTTTGCCCTTAAAATGCTGAGTTTGGGTGAGGAGCTCTTGGTAGGGACAGGTGAGTAGTCAGAAGTGTGGGAAGGAGGGAGGGATTACGAGACAGGAAAACTCTAGCAAGTATTTTGAGAGTGTTGCCATTTATTTTTGGAATCCAGCCTCTGATTATGGCATGAAACTGCCGATCTTGCGATCCAACCCAGAGGATCAGATTCTCTACCAGACGGAACGCTACAATGAGGAAACCTTTGGCTATGAGGTCCCCATCAAGGAGGAAGGAGACTACGTTCTTGTGCTGAAGTTTGCTGAAGTCTATTTTGCACAGTCCCAGCAGAAGGTAAAACAAAAAAGTACTTTGTTCTGGAAGGACTCCCTTCCCATCAGTGGTTGGGTCAAGTGCCAGAGGCCTGCTGCTTTTGCCATATGAGTATGTGGGACTCAAGCATGCACACCTTTCACGACGTGGGAGTGCTTGCCTTCACTGTTCCAGCATACAACAGAACTCATGTCCCCCCCCCCCCCGGAAATGAAGTATCCTGGAGCCACACACAGAGATGCTCTTTCGGCGGGGGGCGGGGGCGGGCAGGACCTATCAGCACCATTTCTGCTGGTGGAAGTCACTGTTACTTGACCTTTGTTATGGGAATATAGGAAGTTACTTTCTTATGACCAGGCCATTTAGTTCATTAGCATGTACCCTGACTGGCCACAGCTCTCCTGAGCTTCAGACAGGGGCCTCTCCCAGACCACCCTGGAGGCACCATAGATTGAACCAGGAACTTTCTACATTCAAAGCAGATGCTCTACCACTGAGCCAAGACCCTTCCTATACAGTGTCATATACAGAGATCAAAAGACAACCGTGTGTCCTTCCAGCTCTGAAATATGTTTTTGCTGCTGCTCTTTCCAGTCGGTTGTATTGACAGGTCGTGGCTGTAGAGTTGGAAGGGACCACGAGGATCATCTAGTCCAAGCCCCTGCAATGCAGGGATCTTTTTTCGACTTGAACCCACGACCCCATGACCCTGGGGCAGCCCTCTCACCCAACCTTCCTGGCTGCTAGAGGCCCTACCACTGAGTTCAGGCCCTTTCCCATAAAATAGAGACCTATTTTACAAGCAAAACCAAAAGTTGCTTGTCTTCTTTATTTGACCAGCTAAGGAAATTGCTTTTCTGCCAATAGATGAGTTCCAGGTCTTGGCACAAACACACTCCTCCAGCTGAGATACAAAATCAGCCAGGCAGCATCTCTCTTAGTTCAATGACTGTCGGTAGCATCACATTTAGGCTTTTTGAGTTACACAGGATTTTTCACTGGGCAGTATGGAAAGGCAGCTACTTCCATCCTCCCTAAGAAGTTTGTGTAAACTTGAAAATTTGCATGCTGCTACGCCCATGAAAGATGTCAGTTAGGCTGCTCTCCTGGCCCTGCACAGTAGCAAGGCCAGGATGATTTTCCTGCATCGGCGTCCCTCCAATCCATAGCTTGTTGTCCTCCCATTTTTGCTCCTGATCTGACTTCTACTCTGCAAGAGGCCTCATTCCTTTGCCATATTTCTTTCCAAAGGTTTTTGATGTGCGCTTGAATGGCCATGTGGTGGTGAAGGACTTGGACATTTTCGACCGAGTCGGACACAGCACAGCGCATGATGAGATTATTCCAATTGGCATCAAGAAAGGGAAGCTGAGCGTCCAGGGAGAGGTCTCAACTTTCACAGGGAAACTCAACATTGAGTTTGTCAAGGTAAGAAAAGTCCATTGCTCACAAATGGCTTCTCTCTCTCTTTCGCTTACAAGGTGTAGATTAGGAAGGTTCACTCATTCCTTATATATTGCTAAGCCCCCTGGCCCAACTATTCCCAGGAGGATGCTTAGGCAAGAGCAGGTTTGATTCTCAGTGATGATGGGTTTTGTCATGTTCTTGATCCGGCCTCTCTTCATTCAGGTAAAGGGCTACCACTCATGCCTTTTGAGAAAGGTTAAGTGCTGAACATGGATAAATGTTTGTAGGGAAGTCAGATCTGATGCAGCCTCTGCTGGCAAAGGTCCTGAACATAAGAAGAGCCTGCTCAATCAGGCCAAGGGCCCATGTAGTCCAGCATCCTATTTTCACAATGGCCAACCTATGTTAAACCCCCTAGGTCTATGCCTGTGTTAAACCCCCAAGCAGGATTTGAAACAAAGGCTGCAATAAGACTGCACCTGCAAGCTGTGTGGGCAAGCTTTCCCTTGACATACTTCCCTTCTTACGTCTGAGAGAAAAATATCCCTCTTTTAAAAGATCAGAAATCCTATTGACAATGGAATGATGTTAGTGAGTAAGCAAATTTCCACAACATTTGGACTATCCAAAATAGTCTTCCAGGGCCATATTAACAGAGATTTAAGGAATTTCACCCCTTTCCCAGATGAATTAAAAAGAAAACAAAACAAAATTGTAAAATGTCTTAATAAAATGTGTTGACATTGTGTCCTTACATAACTTGGTTTACAATTATATCTACATGGAATACAAGCATGATATGGAAGTAAATCTTCATATGTTTGCTTGGAGTATTTATGCTCATCTATTAACCAGAGTTCTCAAGGTGGCTTTCAATATGTGTTTTAAAATACAACTAAACAAGCAAGAGGTACAGAGATGTGTACAGGTTTTGCTCTCGGATATTCCACTTTCTGCTTTGCTGAAATATTTTGGGCCATGGCAGATATCAGATGAAATGGCTACTCTATTTACTTCCATGTTGTGGAAATGGACTGTCCTGCTCAGTAACTGCCAGTTTGTGTGTCTAGGAGCTTCTGAGCCCTGAGCCTTCATGGCTCTTTCTTCAGAGCCTTACATGTACATAGAGAACCGAATAGTTGCCCTGAGGCTGTGGAAGCCAAGAGAAGCAACCCATGACTGCAGCTGTTAGGCAGTACAGGGGCCTAGGACTACTGGAAAGTTCTTTGTGTACACACACACACACACACACACACATCTGGCTCCTAGATAGAGCATCACAAGGGGGAAACAATTCTGGCTCCATTCCACTAGCCAGAGAAGCAGCATCCACCCCTGCAAAAAAAACACACTGCCTATAATATTTGGATTGCAAAAATGAAGAGAAACATGTTCTTGCCTCTGGCACCATCAGGAACCACAGCACCCCTTTCAGCACCCATCAGCAAGGAGAGATCAGCCTGGCTATAAATGCCTGCCTGCATCTCATCACTTTGTTCTGACATTGTCCAGCTGGTCTCCATCCTCTATTTTCCCCCTCCACATCCCTTTCCTTGGATGTCTTGTCTCCCCCACCCCCTGTAAACCCATGTTGACCAAAGCTTCTGTATATTACAGAAGGCACATGGATTGCATGCCCAGAGGTTTTTGGCTCTGCATAGCTGCAAATAGAAACATTTTATGTGTATCTAGTAATCACATGAATTTGCACATGAATTTGTCTGTTAAATCTTTGAATGAGTAAGTTGAAAACTTGATATAGATCAGTGCTTTTTTATTACAGTAGTACCTTGGTTCTCAAACTTAATCCGTTCCGGAAGTCTGTTCCAAAACCAAAGCATTCCAAAACCAAGGTGCGCTTTTCCATAGAAAGTAATGCAGACGTTTAAAAACAATCCCTAAAACAGCAATTTAACATGAATTTTACTATCTAACAAGATCATTGATCAATAAAATGAAAACAATAATCAATGTACATGATAAAAATTATTACTTTTTCTTACCAGCACTGATGATAGTCATTGTTTGGATGGGGGGCTTTTATCCATTTCAGCAGTCACAATCAATCAATCAATCAATCAATCATAAAACGAAGAACAAACCACAGTCACAAAAACAAAAAAGCCACAAAAACGCAAAAAAGATTAGCAAAAACTAAAACACCAAATATAAGCTCCAAATACCACCTCAGAACACTGCAATTGGAAATGGAAGGTTTTGATTACGGGGGGGAAGGGGAACACAAATTAGCAGCCCAACCGTAAAAATGGGAGGAAAAAGGCTTTGATTACAATGGGGGGACGCAAATTAGCAGTGCAACAGTGAAAACGGAAGCTCAGGAGCACATTCAGCTTCTGAAGCAAAGTTTGCAAACCAGAACACTGAATTCCAGGTTTGCAGCATTCAAGTTCCAAGTTGGTCGGGAACTGTGCTGTTCAAAAACCGAGGTACCACCGTACTTTAAATCAGTGGTTTAAGCTGCCTTTATTGGAAGTGTTACTGAATTTGGGAACCCTTGCCTTCCTCAAATTTGAATGTTCCCCTAATATTCAAACTTGGATTCCCCCTCCCTTTTTTGCCATTCAGACCCATAGATTTCAAATACTTTAAACTTAACTTTGTTTTTGTTGTAAATAAAGGTCTAATTTTTAAAGGAACTGATGACTTCAAACTATTTTTTTATCTTATTTAGTCATTCATTCATTCATTTCAAGTATTTATATACCACTCAATATTCAGAATTTCTAAAACCGGTATGGTTTATATGAATCAGCATTGTAGACAATTTTGGAGTAGCTGACAGAGAATGAAGCTCATCTCTCCTTCCTTCTTTCTTTACAGGGGTACTATGATAATCCAAAAGTCTGTGCACTATACGTCCTCCGGGGAACAGTGGACGGTAAGTTTATTTCTTATAACCCCTCCAATTTCAACCTCCTCCTGGTCACCAGTTGCCTTTTCTGTTACTGCAGTCAAAAAGTTTGCTCAAGTAAGACCCTATTCCTCCCTTAGACCCCATTCCATGACACCCTCATAGGAACAAAGGAAAGCTTCAACTTGCCCCTGGTAGAGGTTCTCAGTATTCTGAGTATCTGTGTCTGGAGAGCAACAGTGGGAGAGAGCTTTTGCTGTTGGGCTTTCCAAGAGGTATCTGGGTGGCTATTATGGAGAAATTAGTCTGGCATCTGGTAGGCGTTTTGATGTGGTCTAGCATGGCTCTTCTGCATCCTTGTGGATCTTGCAGGACATTCTCTGATTTGGACCAATTTCCATCTGTGCATCTCTGTACAGACACCCACATTAGACAAATGTTGCACCAACAAACACAGATCTCTCTGCTTAGAATAAATGATGTGTGGCAACATTCTTACTAAATGTGAATTTATTTGGCAGCATTCATGAATATTTGGTATGTTTGGTACAAATATGAACCTTGAATTCTACTGTGGAATATATTTTACACCACTCATTCTTCTTTAATCTTTCTCTAATTATTATGATTATTATTTTATTGTCTTGTGGTTTTATTTTTCCTGTTTCAAAGACTTCTTTTTTTTAAGCAAGCAATATACTGAAGACCAAATGTTTTTAAATGGAAAAAATTAAAAGAACGCTAATTAATTTGCAGGATTTACATGCAAAGTCAGTGTCGGGTAGTAATTAATCCCCAATAAGCTCGCTATATGAAGAGTCTCAAAAGTCTCTCTTGCTAATTATGTGTTCTTTTAATGTTTAAAAAAGTATTAAACTTCAAAAAAGAGAAAAGATTAAATGATATGGTTCAGTGTTAACCAGTTTGGATGGCAAAACTTCAGTTTTTGCCAAATTTGGAATAATTTTAGGAAACAGAGTGGTTTTCCTGAAGTCGGAGAAGGTTTTTCTAGGACACTCCAGTTGGCTTTGTTCTGCGTACATCACAGACCCTGGCATTTCTCCTTCTCTTCCCTCCCACAGATGTCCCAAAGCTACAGCCCCACCCCGGCCTGGAGAAGAAAGAAGAGGAGGAAGACGAAGAGGAGTATGAAGAAGGCTCCAGCACTAAAAAGCAGACCAATAAGAACCGGGTCCAGTCAGGCCCCCGCACACCAAACCCCTATGCCTCGGACAACAGCAGCCTCATGTTCCCTATATTAGTGGCCTTTGGTGTCTTCATTCCTACCCTCTTCTGCCTGTGCAGGTTGTGAAGGACGAGACTGCAAGGCCAGTGACCGGCCAGAGGGGAGGAGTTGGACCAAGCGCGGAGGCTCTTTCGGTTTCTCATAATTTAAGGAAAATTTTTAAAGGTTTGTTAAGGAGCAGCAGGTACAATAAAGGGCAAGTTTGCATCATCCTCTTTGAGGAAGGCAGCCTTCACCTACCCACCCTCGCAGCAACTGCCGCCTCCTTGAGCCACCCAGCTGCACCATGAGCCGCCACCTTTCTGGTCCAGAGAATCTTGAAAGCAAAGCCTGGGTAGTTCTGGCTCTAAGATGCAGATGAACTATCTTCCCAGAGAACAGCAGGATGGAGGGGCAAGGGCGAGCAGCGGGGAGAACGAACAGGGAGGGGCACGTCTCCAAATGTTGGCATGAAGAAGCAGACTTTGCCATCACACAGCCTTGGCTGGAATAATCCACGTTTGTGCTAGGACTGCTTGCGGGGGTGGGGAAAATAGGCTGGCTTTTTGACTCCTGCTGAAATGTTTGTAACTCAACCCATGGTACTTCTTTTCTTTTCTGAAAGAGAGAGAGGCTCGCCCTTGCTGTTTGGGTAGAAAGGCTATTGGTGACTGGAGCAGGATGAACAGGTTGGTCTTGTTCAGCTGCCCTGCCTGGGAGAAATGTTTTTTCCATGGTCACTGCAGCATCTGACCGGCCACTCTGGAAAGGCTTAAGCCTCCAGAGGGCAGTTTCTTTTCTCGACACAGAACCCTTTGTTTGTTCCTGAATGGTTCCCACTTCCCATTTGCTTGTCCTTGGGGGATTTCCTCTAATGCCCCATCAATTGTTGCTTTAAATGTCCCTCTAATGCACGTGCGTGCACACACGCGTACACACACACACCTGTTTCAACACTCAGGACCCCTTTCCATTCTGCATGTCCCTGATGAGAACTTGGTACGTAAAGATTGGAGTTCTGGCAAAGATTTAGGATCTTTTTGATTTCCTTGGTGGCCTTTTAATCTCCCTTGTTCCAGGAGACCTGCCACCTTTTGAGCTGAAGAAGGCATTTTTTCATTTGTTTTTAGGAGCACCAGCACAGGGAGACATCTGTCACAACTTGTCTCCATGTCCCTGGACCTCCTTGAAATGCTTCAGTTGTGTTATGTTTGTGTATTTGTGTTTTTAAATCAACTTGAAAAACCAAGTGCCAGTGTTTTGTTTTTGAATTATCAGGTGTATCTCACTTTCACTGGTTTGCTGGCCACCAGTTTCTGGTTGTTTCTCCCCCCCCCCCCAAATTCTGGGAGATTAACATTAACAGTCTGAAATAGCCCTTAAAGAAAGGAGTACCATCCCAAGAACTGCAGATTGTATAGTGGCAAATCCTGTGCCGCCATAATAGTTGTGATGCACTGTGAAAGGATGAGCCAAGTAGGTATCTTCTCCTTTCCTCATTTTGGGGAGGCGGTTTCAGAATATGACCAAGAGAGATGCCCACTTTAACCTTTTGTGGTATAGGAGAGAGCTGTCATATTGACCTGGATTGTGATCAGTTTTCAGTGACACCTACATCGCAGGGCCTGTCTGATTCCCGCTTCCCGGTGAAAACAGGGAGAATTATTTTAAATCTGTACATTGGGTTCTTGTGGCTTTCTGGTTTTCCATTGCTATGACAAGAGAGAGAGAATTGGCAGTCCAGTTCAAGGACAAAACACCATAGAGAAAGGCCTTTCATGGGGAAACTAAACAGAGGGTGCATCTCCAGTTGTTGGCTTAAAGAAGCAGATTTCGCTTTTTGTCTTGTCTTTCGGCACAGTGAAGATTCTTGCATAACTGTGAACTGGGCATTAGTTGGCACTTGGCAACTCTCAAGGCTGGAGCCCCCCTTGCACCCATTTTTTTGCAGGCAATCTTTCTCCTCATGTCACCAGCCGAAGTGGTCTTGCCTAGACCGACCATTGTGGCTGATCCAGACTGTCGCCTCTTCATTGTGCTCCTTCCCTGTACCCTTATTTCCCTCTGCTCCAAACACACACACACAATAAACTTCCTGCCATTTCCTTACACAGTCACTTGAGGATGTCTTAGTATGTGGCTGGCAGCTTTTTTGTGTCCTCTGTCCTGCAGTCCTTGGCAAGACTGGCCTAGTTTGGGAGCCTTGAGCCCTGAGCAGCCTCCTTCACCCCTTCTTCAGAGTGCAGAAGTTTGCAGTTTGTTACTATAAGTTGTCCTGTGTTAACAGTTGGGGCATATGTGCCCCTTGAGGTCCTCTGCTGATTTCCTCCCAGGTACAGTCTCGATGGGGAAATTGTATCTGAAAGGGGCCTTTGTTTCACATTGCCAATAAATGCATTAAACTCAACCAGATACTTCTTTTCCTCCACCCAACCCTTAGCTGCTTGGCTTAAAGGAGAGCCTGTCCAGATTCAACCTCCTGCTGCGTCTTTGGCCCCAGTGAATGCTTCTTCTCTTTCACCACCACCCGTCTGCCCAGTTTTTGTTCTCCGTTGTTGTTGAGCCTCATCTAAACACAACTGCAGATACTGGCAGGGATGTGGAATAATCCCTGAGCTTGGAAGCCGGGTGTCCCATTGCACTGCCATCCTGCTGTTTACTCCTTCCATCTGCCCCTTCTCCCAGCACTAGAGCTTGCTATACAGAGCAGGGAAGCAGCGCTGTGTCTTTTCAATCCCAGCTCTTTTCCAAAGGGTTTGATTTGAACTCCGCCACAGTTAGGTCTGGCTGGCTTAATCTCTTCACAGCAGGAAGGTGGGATGTGAGCTCAGGTACATGGCCTTGAGTGGGGTGGCTGCTTTTGTCTTCATACCATTCGTGCGTTATGATCCTGCATATTTAACTTCCTTTTTGACAGCTGCTTATTTCTGGGCCCATTTGGGACTGACAGATAAACAGAACTGCTAGCATGTCGTGAAGGCAGCCTGATTCCTTTAGAATTGCAGGATTCCATCCCAGGCAGGGCATCTTATGTCCTCTGAGGGTCGAAGCAGGGTGAAGTGCAGGTTTAACCTCTCCCAGAACAAGGCCAGAGTTTAAGAAAAACTGCAGCTAGTACAGGGTTCAAGCAAAATGGTGCCACAGGAGAAGAGGACCATGCAGCAAGTCCTCTGCCTGCCAGGTAACTCATTGATAGTGTTGGCCTTCCCCAACTTATTGCCCTCCCTCCAGATGTTTTGGAGCCCCACTCCCATCAGACCCAGCATCCTACGACTGTACTGGCTGAGGCTGATGGAAGTGGGAGTCCAGAACATTTGGAGGGCAACAGTTTAAGGCCAAGTTTCCACTACCCAGTAGGAACTTACAAGCCCACTTTCATCCCCTTTTCTCTCCAGCCCTGTACCTTCTTGCTTTGAGGGCACTGATGGGTACTAACCGCCTCCCTGAATGTGTCTGTGTTCCGATCTGTTTCATTAAGAGGGAAAGATGCCATTTGATGTAAGGCAGGACTTGAAATGTATGCAGTGCGGTTGAGCAGGATTTGGTGGTGAGGTCAGAAATCGGTCCTTGCTGCAAGAGCACTTGCACGCAGTGAGGAAATGATGTGATTTTGTTTCTCTCTCCTATAATCTTGAAGGTTCTCAAAGGCGATAGATTACTGGCTGATTCAAAAGCTGTCCCATTAAAAAAAGATTCAGTGAGAGGGCTGAGATTGTCTTGAGATTCCCATGCTTGGGATATGAAAAATGATCTGGTCACTTTGCCTACAAAGACACCCTCAGCTCCAGTTGCTGTGCAATGAAAAGTTTGGGTTTGCCAAATGCTGCCCTTGCTTTGGGAGATCTGAGAAAGAGCTCCTCTGATAAGCTTGCTCTTTTTGAATTAAGTTGCGACAATACAACTTGGGCGCTTTCTTCCTTTCCTAATGTTTGGCATCTAAGAGGTAGCAGTGAGCTGCACTATTTTATTTTTATTTTGGAGGACGTTGCAGGTGGAAACCGAAGGAATGCCAAAGTTGAATCTTATGTCTCTCCATCTTTTTTGTGCCTTCTTTATTTTTCAGGTAGTGAAATGACAACCGGTTCTGCTTGTAATGAAGCTTCTGTTCTAAGGAACTTCTGTTTCCTCTTTTTCAAACAGACAAATGTGTGTGAGATGGGTGGGAAAGCTGTCTCCTGTGAACCAGACATTCCTCATTTACAAATGCAAAAACCGCAGTGAAGTTCAGCCTCTGTGCATCTTACTCCATGCATTGTCAGGAAATGCTGGTGAGCCAGGGAGAGCTTCCATTCTTACAGTTCAAGTTTAGTTGTGCTTCAGAAAAGGCAAACTGGCAGATGCCACAAAGCACATCTAAACCTGAACTGTAGAATGGAAGCCTAATTCCTCAGCAATTCCAAATGTCTTCTGAGTAGAACCCTCTGGTCCAGCCTTCGCCAACCTGGTGTACTTCAGACACGTTGAAATACATCTTGCATCGGTCCCCAATGGGAACTTGTGCTCCAAAACATCTGATGGGCACCAGTTAGCAAAGGTTCCCATAATATAATCCCTAACTATTGGGCAATCTGGTTGGGACTGATGGGAGTTACAGTTCAGAACACCTAGAAGGCATCACTTTGGGAAAGGCTGATCTGAACAGTCATTGATCGAGACTATCCTGATCTACAACTGGGACTTGGCATCAGTTCAGAGCATGCATATTTATATTCAGTGCCTGTCAATGGTTGGGCTTTCAGAATTGTTCTACCCCTATGTTGGATTCTTGTGTTGCAGGTACTGGGTTAGAGCAAAATGGTAGAAGAGGAGCATGGGGCCAGCCTTCTGCCTCCCAGGTGATTTGATGTTAACGTCCAGTTCTACAAGGCACTGGGATTTGCTAGCACTCCATGCTGTGACAGCAGGCAAGACTTCCTCCCCAGCACATTGCATTGTCTTAGCACTAATACATGCCCTCCTGGCAGGTAGAGCAGGTTGGTGCAAGTGCCCTTTCCTGTGCTGGGACACAGCTATGAGAGTTTGCTGTTTTATGAGGCAGTTTGAGACTCCTCCTGATAGACACCATCTCTTACAGCATGTTGGGAGTATGTTGTTCCCATATCATCCTGAGATCACGGTGCAGTCATATGATTGGATTGAAACAGAATCCTCTTTAAGTGCACCATGAATCAAAGCATCCAGAAAATGAGATGAAGCCGTTGGATCAGGCAGCCTGGCTTTATATATGCTGAAGAGAAAACGAGGGTCAGGACTTGGGAAAGAAACCAGTCGCAAGATCCACACCTGTACATTTGAAGCACATGACTTCCTCCAAAGGGTCCTGAGAACTAGTCGTCCGTCCCCCCCCGAGCTACAAGTCCCAGCGCCTTTAAAGTCATGTGCTTTAAATATGCATTGGAGGTCCTTTAAATGTATGATATGCATCTGTTCTTGGTCTCCCAAGACATCCACAAGGGTAAAATCAACTGAGCCTCTAAGCCTAAGCTTCTTCCAATGATAGCGTTGGATGCAGATTACAGCATTGCTTCTTTCTTCAGTAATGATTGTTCAACATAAGCTTGCAGGGTCAAAATACTGTCTGAACTTGCAGTTGTTCTCTCTCCCCCCACCCAATGGGGAACAAGAGGAAGTTTTAGTCAATAGACTATTGTCTTGGGGTCTGGCACTTCCTGATCTTAGCTTAAGGAAGGAGGAGAGTGTGTTTAAAGGCCACTGGAACTCATGACCATTGCAGCAGCAGCACCAAAACATTTTCATCGTGATCGCAACTGCTGGCATTAGCATAGAGCAGTCTTCACCAACCTAGTGCCCTTCAGATTTTTGGGGCTATATCCCCCATCAGCACAGCTGTGCTAGCTTGAAGCCGATGGAAGTTTTAGTCTGAAAATCTGGAGGGCACCAGGTTGGGTAAGCTGTTGTAGAAAGGATCTCTGCCAGAGCTGGGGAGATACTTATAGTTAAACATTAGAGAAATGCTTTTGAAGAGATGAGATTCTTTTATGGGGTGTTGCATATGCCTTGTCCATTCAGAAAGGGCCAGCGTTGATCAAATGCTTTACCACCACCCCTTTATTACTGTCCCTTCTTCCCCCCTGCCTTGGGCAGATGCTTTATTCTAACAAACTGAAGTGCTTTCCACCCTCCCATGGATGCTTTTATGCTCTGGTACCTTGACTATCTCGCAAAAGATCTCTCTCTTGAGGAGGAAATTGTGGGTGTGTCAGTGTTGTCTGCAGTTAAGGAAAGGTTTTACTGAAACGGTCTGCCTGCAGCCTGTTCCCTTAGAGGCTGACTGCTTTGTACGGGTCTAGAAACACAGAAAATCTCAAGACCCAGAATTCTTAAGGCATCCTTAACCGCAGCCTCTTTCCAGAACTCGTGGGGCAAGTTGCCCCAGTCCTTGAGGTTCATCACCCGCTCCCCCACAAAGCTTCCTGACTGCCCAGGAAAACCTGGTGTCTGAAGGACTGAGTGATGGAAGGGGAGAAAAGCAGGAAAGAAGACTAATAGTCTGTAGGGCCAGCTGGGGAGGCTTCAAAGGCTATGCATGCCTTCTTTCACTGGAAAAAACTTGTGTCATGAGTGCAGTGAAGATCCAGGAGCAGGTTAGTGGCCTCTGACAGGGACTATTTTGTCCTCCTTTATTGAACACATCATGGGATTCTCCTGTGCCTTTCACATTTACGTGGGGTGATCTTTGGGGTGCCTTTAGGGAGTGCCTTCTGTTACTCCAGAGGAAAGGCCATTTTCCTCCCCCTCCCCTTTACTTCCTAAGCAGGTAGGGTCAGTTAGACCCCTGTCCTGTCCATCAGTTGTTCGGCAAGATTATACTCTTTATCACTGTTAAAGCAGGTGGGAACTTTGAACTCCTGCAGTTTTCAGATGATTGAGGCCCATCTTGCTTTACCGTGCTGGGATCCTATTAATCTCTCCCACACCACACATGAAGCTTGGATCTGTGCCCCTGCTTGCTTATGAGGCAGCTGATCTCCTGGGCTCTTAGGACAAGCCAGATGTAAGCTTGAAGGTTACAAGCCTAAGCTTTATGGAATCAGTTTCTGTACTGGTAGTTCTGTAACTTTCAAAGTTAATTCCTGATTTTGAAGGAGGGTTGTGTCTTTAACCATCTCTTGCTCTCTATGTCTAATCATCTGCAGCTTTTCTTATTGGTGTATGTTTTGTTTTTTAATAACTTTGGGCAAAGGGTAAAAAGCACAGGTGTGTGTGTGTGTGTGATTGTACTGGCTTTGCAAAAGGACTACCCCCAAAAAAAATTCCTGGGGAAGTGGAACAGGTATGAGTGAATTATTCTTGCTTTATTTCTCTTCTCCCCATTTTCACCCCTGATACATTTAGCTGGTTGGTTTTTTTTAACAAATTAAATTTTCTTGGGTTTACTTTTCTTTCTCCCAGGATGTCTGGTTTGAGGGGAAATGTTCAGAAATCTACTGGCTGGCAGTTTTAACCAGCAGTGTGTTTAAAAATAAATAAAAACAAAATTATATTGTCACTCAAAGGAACTGGTGTTTTTCTTACAAATAAATAAATAAATAAATGAGGGACATATTTATGTCAGAAAATGTTCATAGCTCTCAGCTGTATGGAGTCAGAGGCTTAAACCGCACTGCAGCAGCTATTGCAGGCTGCCAAAGAGACTTAATTTTTAAAACCCCATCACCACAACTCAGAATTATTACAGCATCCGAGCAACTCTTCTCCTGCCTCTGCTGAAAACTGCCCTGTTGCTCATCCCTATGGCGGTGGCATCTCATTTCTCTCTATTCTAGTGGCTTGTGCATTTAAACTTTTCTGATCCTGAGTGGCTCATGTGTGAGTTGGGAGTCCTATTCCTCCACATCAAATCCCGTTCTGTGAATGGGTGCAAGCATACATTTAGTAAATAGTGGGTCCGATTTTTAAAAAGGGGAAATGTATTTTGTAGAGGGTATGTGATAATAAAGCTGCAGCTGGCTGAATTCTGTTGTGTCGCCTTAGATTCGGAAATGGATTAGACAGTACCCCAAGCATAGGAAAAGCAAAGAAGTCCATTCCTACCTGTCCCTTAAATCTTGAATTGGCCCAGTGGCTGGGCCTTGTCCAATTCTCTCTCCTGTCTTGTGCCAAGGTCCTGGGCATGATCAATGTGTGATTCATCATCCCCTTTTGAAATATTTGTTTTGTTATGCACTAGAGTAGAATAGTCACATAACAGAGCCCGATTTAAAGTGGGCTTCACCAGCACCAATAATTTTATTTCTAGCTTCAATTTTTAAGAGAAAAAGCAAAAGACGGAAGGTGAAACATTCTTTTTTTTAAAAAAAAACCCCAAAACACCCCTGGCTGCCATGTCATAGGGAGGGTGAGATGTGAGTGCCCAGTCAGCAGTGACTGAAAGCCAGTGCTGGTATCATAGTGTGCAGAGTTTTGTTACTTCAGCCATTATACCACATGGAGAAGAGAAATCTGCTGCTGACCTGCTGCTATGTGCAGCCGTAGATGACTGTCGGTGGGTTCTTGGTGGTGGCCCAGAAGCAGCCTGCCTGGCCAGAGTTTGCAGCCCTCCAAGCCACTCTGGCCTTGTCTGAGCAGAGTAGCCGGGTGGAAAACACAAAAATGTGTATGAAGTTTGCACGTGATGATTTGCATGTGTGGACGCAAACGTAGAAACAATGACTCACAAACAATGAAGTAGATCTCATCGTAGTGGGGAAGACACCTAATCCGTCTTGCCATAGCAAAAGAAAAAAAGCTAGTAATAATAATAATATAATAATAATAGTCTTATTTATACTCCGCACATCTGACTGGGTTTCTCCTGCCACTCTGGGCGAGTTTCAGCACAGAGAAAAATATAATAAAAAGTCAAACTAATTAATAGCAACTGAATGGGTAGTTCCAAGGCCCCTTTCTGGTCCGCTTTTTTCTGGCAAGGACCCGGCAGCTTTTCAAAACAGGACTGTCCTCTACGCGCGGCTATCTTTCCCCATGAAGCATTCAGCTGCGGAGGAGGAAAGTCCTGCAACGTTTCGGTTTCGCTGCCCAAAATCCCCCTTACGGAGATTTGCCTGCCTGCCTGCCCTGTCCAGATGCGCCCCAAACCGCTTCGCGCCGCCACCCCCTTCCAAAACCGCAACAGCCCCTCCGAGGTGCTTCCTTCCGGAGTGCGCGTGCGCGCGGCGTCCTTCGCCCCACCCACCATCCCTACCTCCCACCAACGTGCCTCCTTTGGCTCCGCCCTCCTCGACCTCCGTCAACGGCGTCCTCCTGGCCACGCCCCCTCGCTCCCATAGCTACGAAAGGAGGCGGCGGCGGAGGTGGCAGCCATCTTGGCAGCGGCGGCGGCGGCGGCGGGCCCGACGGGGCGATGAGCGGCTCGAAGCCCAGGGTGGCGTCGGGGGCCGGCGGGGCGCTGAGCCGCTTGCGAGGCCGGAGAGGCTCCGGAGACGCGTCGCCCGCGGTCGTGGCTCCTCTGAGGGCCGCCGTGTTGCCCCGCACCGAGGCGGAGCTGCTGGCGCTGGACGCGGTCCGGCCCGAGCACGTCCTGGGGCTGAGCCGCGTCACTGAGAGTGAGTAGCAGGGGCGCCCCCGAGGAGCAGCAGGAAGGAGGAGCCCCCCGGGCGGACCCCGACATTGTGCCAAGCCCCCTCTCTCTGCGCCCCGGTATCGACTCCCCAGAGCCCCCGCCCCACCCCAGTTCGTGGATTCACTTAGGTGGGCACCCATGTATCTACCCTGCCCCCCCCCTCTCCGTAGGCCAGGGGAATTGGGAGGGGTGGTCCTCACGCTCCCCCCAAAATCCTCTCTTGCCTCTGAAGGTTGCCCCTTCTATGGACTCTTCTGGGCACCCCAACATCGATTATGCTTTTGCTCTGAATACAGTGATACCTCAGGTTACATACGCTTCAGGTTATAGACTCCGCTAACCCGAAAATAGTGCTTCAGGTTAAGAGCTTTGCTTCAGGATAAGAACAGAAATCGTTCTCCGGCAGCAGCAGCAGGCCCATTAGCTAAAGTGGTGCTTCAGGTTAAGAACAGTTTCAGGTCAAGAACGGACCTCCGGAACGAATTAAGTATTTAACCCGAGGTACCACTGTAGTCATGTTCTTTTTCCAATCAGGGCGCAGGAAATTGGGAGCGGCGGAGCACATTCTCCCTTTACACGCCCGCTAGCATTTTGCTCCGAAGAAACCTCCCTTTAATGGCCCCACCGGCTAGACCCATAAACTAGGGCCCCCAAGTGTCTGTTAGGTTTCCATTTCCTTCCTGTCCCTGAGCGCAGGAAATTTGTGGGAGACAGAGCATGCACCCTGCTTTCTTGTTTCACTCAAAAAAAAACTATCCCCCTATTAGCAACTAAGAGAAACTCAGGATATGTATATTTAACTGCTCAGGGCTTTGTCTAGCCCCAGCTGTAAGGCTGACGCAAATAAAGATTCATTCATTCATTTAAAGAATTGATATGGATAACTTCTCACTCATGGATACCCCAGAAACTGGGAAACCCCGAGTACAGCAGCATCAGCTTTCTGGGTTGCTGCTGCCCCCCATTTCATGTGCACAACATCTCTGCTTACTTAGCAACTAACTAGTCCCTTTTTCTGTCAGAATAACTCCAAGGACGCAAAAATCTGGGATCCCCAAGGTACCCTAGCACCACCCTCCCGCATATTAGTGTATCAGGTACTCTGAAGAGCATTTCCATCCCCCCCCCTTTGAATAGTCTCTTTACTCCCTCTTACTTCATACAGTACTTTCAATTAACAAGATGGTAATAGCTTCCCTATGCTTTTCTACTTGCAGAACTGTGAGCACACCTGAAAGTCATCACTGCAGTCATAATTCTGAATAACTTCTTTTCTTTCTGCCGTCAGTCTTTTCTGGCTTAGAATGACTTTCTCTCTGCAGTCTGCCTACAATCGTGGAAATACAGGGTTGCCCAGGCTTGTATTTAACAACTCATGTAATAACCATAGGGTGTTCCAGTATAACGCTAATCAATGTGTTCTGTCAGTGCAAGAATTTCCACTTGTGCGTCAGAACTTCCCTACTTCTCTCCTCTCCCCCCCACCCAGCACACCCCCTACATCTGTTCCTTCAGAGTAGATATGGTGAGAGCATAGGGAGATGGAGAGGGAATTTGTGATGTAAACAGAAATCCTTGTACTGATGTAATGCATTCAATGGGTTCCACTCCATACCAGGAATTCCCTGCAGGCCAATGACCAGCCCATTCCTCCTCTGAGTCCTTTCATTGATTGATTGATTGATTGATTGATTGATTGATTGACTGATTGATTGCAATTATACCCCACCTTTCCTTCAATCCTAGACGTACGTTAGTGAGTTATTGGCCAAAGGTGAGCTTCACGGCTGAGTGGGGATTTGAACCCCGGTCTCCCAGATCCTATTCCAACACCCTAACCACAACACCAGGGACCGCGGGTGGCGCTGTGGGTTAAACCACGGCGCCTAGGACTTGCTGATCGGAAGGTCGGCAGTTCGAATCCCCGCAACGGGGTGAGCTCCCATTCTTCGGTCCCCCAACCTAGCAGTTCGAAAGCACCTCGCAGTGCGAGTAGATAAATAGGGACCGCTCTCTGATGGGGAGCGGGAAGGTAACGGCGTTTCCGTGTGCTGCTCTGGTCCGCCAGAAGCGGCTTAGTCACGTTGGCCACGTGACCCGGAAGCTGTCTGCGGACAAGCGCCGGCTCCCGGCCTCTTGAGCGAGATGAGCACGCAACCCCAGAGTCTGTCACGACTGGACCTGATGGTCAGGGGTATCTTTACCTAACCACAACACCACACACTGGCTCTCCGTGTCTAACATTTTTCTCCACAACCAGTATGATAAGACAGAGGGCTGGTGGAGAAGGGACATTGGAAGCTCCTCGGTCAGAAAATTGGTCCATCTAACTCACTATTGTGCACACTGGCGGGTTCCTCTATCCTTCCTTCTTCAATAAACCTGGGCAAGGAAAGGCAGTACAGTGGTACCTCGGGTTAAGTACTTAATACATTCTGGAGGTACGTTCTTAACCTGAAACTGTTCTTAACCTGAAGCACCACTTTAGCTAATGGGGCCTGCCATGCTGTCGAAGCACGATTTCTATTCTCATCCTGAAGCAAAGTTCTTAATCCGAGGTACTATTTCTGGGTTAGCAGAATCTGTAACTTGAAGCGTATGTAACCCGAGGTACCACTGTACTAGCTTGTCAAGTGGCTAGAAGCCTGTGTTTTTGTGCATGCTTTATAGGAAGCTAGTACTTGGGGGTGGGGGTGGGCAGGGAGCAGGCTAGTAACATTTGTGGGCTTATTTGCAGTGTTGCCACAATATCTACTCTCCTTTCTTTTATATACAGGCGGCAGCCATTTCGTGCAGGTGTTCCATTCCTGTCCCCCACACTCATCAAAGGAGCACATTTAAGTGTGCTCCGATCCTGTTCTGCCTTGGACCTGTGTGTCAGCGATCACACGTCAATTGGACTCACCTAAAATGGTGACCGCCTGTATATAAACCTTGGGTTTATGTATGCATGAAGCTTTATTTCTAGCAGGATGGACCCATCAGATTGGCAGTAGACCTCCAAGGCTTTGGGCTGCAATGGCTCTTCCCAGCCTTGAAGTCCAAGATCCCTTTACCTGTCTTGTCTTTCCCAAATGGTAATCCCCCACATGGGACTTCTCAGGTTTCCTTTTCCTTTGTCTCCTAGACTATCTCTGCCGACCAGAGGACAACTTTTACAATATTGATTTCACCAAATTCAAGATCAGGGACCTGGAGACAGGGACGGTGCTATTTGAAATTGCCAAACCTTCAGCTTTAGGTAAGTGGGCCCTGAAGAAGAAAAAATAGAGAAAGTGAGAGCTTGTACATAAAGCCTAAGGTCCAGTCTCTGTCTAGAAATTGCTGGGATTTCAGAATCTAAATAGTTTCTTCTAAAGATTTGAATGATTTCTGCAATTCCGCCTCTTTTTCTCCTTCCCTCCCCCCTTCTGACATTAAAGTTCCCAACAAATATTTTAAAGAAGTTTGCAAATTTTCCATAGGGATTAGGAAGGCAACTCAATAACTTTTATATAAACTACTTTGCATGATATATTGCTCACCACTAATATAGACAAGCTGGTGGGAGTTGTAGTGCAAAGCATCTGGCAGACAGAAGTTTGGGGAAAGGCTTCATTACATTTTCTCTTGCATGCAGTGTACAGCACAATAGGGCCCTGATACTGTTGTATCTAAACACCACCAGCTTTGCCCACCCTGCAGTTCAGCCCAGCTGAACTAACACTGTCTGTAACATGAGTCAAGTCACCATCTTAGCACATCGCCAGCAGAGAGCTGCTTATCGCTATCATTGTTGTTATTATTAATTTCATTTATAGACCATCTTACGTCCATGGCCTCAGAGTGGTTTAAAATACATGAAGAATACTAAAATGCAAACAATTTCTGTTGCAATCAATAACGCACAAAACATTAACACCAGTAGTGACCGTAGAGCAATAAAAACAAACAAAGACACCACAGTGTGATTGATTCAGCATGCAAAATGTCACCAACCTGGGTAAATTAAACCTGTTCAACTGATGTTGGGGGCTCTGCATCAAAAGTGCTTGGTGCAGTTCTGGGAGTAGCAAGGTGCTGTCACAAAGAAGGCTTGGGTGGCAGGCCATGGTGGCCTGATGGGAGAATCTGCCCCCTTCCTGACAGGTGTGGCTGAGGGAGTGCCAGCAAAAGGTGTGCATGATATCTCACGGGTGACTTGCTTCTTAAATGTCGCTTCTTGCAGAGCAAGAGGACGATGACGGTGACGCCGGGGAGGTGGACACCAGCGCAGGGCGCTTTGTCCGCTATCAGTTCACACCTGCCTTCCTGCGCCTCCGGACAGTTGGCGCAACGTGAGTAGGAGCTTGTGGAGTGATGGGGGAAAGGGGGCTACCCTGCTAACCCTGTGATTGCAATCAAATGATTCTGAGATTGTATAAAGCAGGTTCATCAGCTCACAAAGAATGTATATTGGAGAAGTGGCTGTGCCTGGGGCTCGGTGTAATCTGTGATTCACAATAAAAAAATAGTTTAAAAAAGGAATGGGTTGTATCCAGCTAAGTCCTACTCAGGGTAGGCCCATTAAAGGACCTACATTAAGTCTGGTTCATCAACTTCATTGGGTCTACATGGAGGAGAACCAACGCTGGGTACAACCCAATATATCTGCAACACTAGAAGTGGCATTGTGCAAATTGTAAAAATTCACAACATGCTTGATTTCACTTCCTTGTCACAACCCAGCCATCTTCATTAGTTTGCATAATTTATTTGGCTAGTTGTGGATAGGAGCAAGGAGCCCTAGGCTTGTTTGCTGCAAATAGTTGTCAGTTGCTGAGATGTCATTGAGCGCTGCCTCATTTTTCAAACATACCTTCACAATCATAGGCACTAGGAACTTTTGATTCTATTATTCTGTTTAGGAAATGAAAGCTGTTATCTTTAGGAACAAGTGCTTGTGGGCAGCCCATGTTTTGCTCCTGCAGGTTAGTTACAGCAGTGTTTCCCAACCACTGTTCCGCGGCACACTAGTGCAGTGTTTCCCAACCACTGTTCCGCGGCACACTAGTGTGCCACGAGATGTTGCCTGGTGTGCCGCAGGAAAAATTAAAAAATTGAAAGATTTTTTTTTTAAAGTCAAATTTTCGATTGGGGCGCCGTCACTAGATGACCCCTGGGGTTCCCTCCCTCCCGCTCTGTGCCTCCCTCCTCCTCCTCCTCCTCCTCCGGGGAGGCCCTTCCTGGCTCTCGGCCAAGGCTTGGCGGCTGCCACTCACTCACTCGCTCGCTCGCCCACCCGTCCCTCCATCCCTGCACCCGGCCTCTCCCCCTCCATCCCCGGCGCGAGGGCTGCCGGGATCCGTAGTCCCCTCGCCCTTGGGCTCCGCGCCCGCGCGGGGTGCGCGAACTACGTTTCCCAGCGTGGCCTGGCGGGCCGGGCGTTTTGTTTGAAGCGCTCTTCTCCCGGCCATGGAATGAGCGCAGTGGCGGCGGCCGGGCAGGCAGGGGCTCTTCCGCGCAGACCCCGCGCAGCCTGCCTGCGCCCCCCCGGAGATCGGGCAGCAGGATGGAGCCCGGGGATCCCCGCGGAGGCGGGGAGGCGGAGGCTGCCCCCCAGGTAGGGCTGCGTCGGGGGTTTTTTATTTTTGCAATGCTGCATCCGCGCCGGAGGGGACGCATCGGACCGCGGGGAGACCCCTTGGCGGGCGTGCAAGGCAATGCATGCGTGCAGGCGTTGCATGGAGTGCAGTGCAATGCAATGGCAACGCGGCGCCCTGCATGCATGCATGCAACTTCCACCGGCGCTCCGGACTTGGCAGGTGAGGGGGGTCCCCAGTGGGCGGCAGAGAGAGCCGGGAGGGTGAAGGGGAGCCGGGGGGGAGCAGCGCTGCTCCCCGAGCCGAGCCCGGGGGAAAACTTCGGCGTCGTTGCGCCGGGTGTTGGAAGCGGAGGCTGGCGGGGGCCCCTCACCTGCAAAACCTGGTCGCCTCTCATATATTTCGTGCATTGCATTCATCGCCCGCTTTCTCCTCCAAGGAGCTCCCGGGGGCGCGCATGGTTCTCCCCGTGTTATCCTCGCAACAACAGCCCTGCGAGGTGGGTCAGGCGAGTGGCCCAAGGGAGCACCCAGGGATTGTCCTGGCCAGGTGGGGTGATTTGAACCCTGCTCTCTGCCCGGTCTTCGTCCTCATTTAGCCCCCACATGTGCATGACTGTGCATGACTGAGGTTTTGCCCCCTCGTCTTGGCTATGGTGTGAGTCTGTGCTGTTAATTAATGGGGTTCTGCCTTCGGAGAAGATGAGCCAGCCCTCAAGGAGGTGATTATGTAATTTGCTAGCAAATCATGTCCCTCCCGGCGTGACGCTGCGCGCTGACGTCACGGGGCTGTAATGGTGGTGTGCCTCGAGATTTTTTTCATGAAACAAGTGTGCCTTTGCCCAAAAAAGGTTGGGAAACACTGAGTTACAGCTCTGTCTGTGCCCATCACAGGCAGCATTGCCTCCAGGGCTGGGTCCTTGCAGAAACCGAGTTTTGGCTTCTAGTCAGGAGACCATCTTGACCACCTAACTGGTTGTTCTTCTCTTTCCCTCCTGTCTCTGCAGCGTGGAGTTCACAGTAGGAGACAAGCCTGTGTCGAATTTCCGTATGATCGAGAGGCATTACTTCAGAGACCGCCTTCTCAAGAATTTTGACTTCGATTTTGGCTTCTGCATCCCCAGCAGCAGGAACACTTGTGAGCACATCTACGAGTTCCCACAACTTTCAGAGGACCTCAGTAAGTATCTCTTGTGTGACCCAGAGCTGGCTCAAGACCAGCCTGGTCTCCTCCAAGTCATTTTGGACCATAAATCCCATCTGCCCCAGCCACTGCAGGCTGCAGAGTGGGGTTGATGGGAGTTGTAGTCCAAAATTGGAGGGCATGACGTTGAAGAGGATACAGTAGACTTTGCTTCAGTATCAGCTACCAAACGTCATGCATTGCTTTAAACCTTTCAAACTGAGTTGTACTCAGAAGCCGGTTGGTAGCCAATGGAGTTCTTGTAGCACCAGCAATAGCTGTTCAGTGGTCACTCGTGGTTAGTAACCCATCCGCTGTATTCTGCACTAACTTTGCACAGTCTTCAACCTGACCTAACCTCTTCCTGCTAGCTGCTTAAGCTGTTTTTCACAAGGAAGAAGATAGGGCCAAACAGAACTTCACACAGAAATCTTAAGTGTGAACTTGATATATTTCAAATACCATGCCTTTTAGAATTGTGGCCACCGCAGCCTAAAAAGAGAGAGAAAAGTGGGGAGTATTGCTGCTAATTTCAGTTTGAGTAAGCACAGCTCACTCTCTTCAAAAGATTCCTCATTCAGGGGAAGAATGTGGTTACGCAGAAGCACTGAATTGGTTGACTTCTCTGTTCCGTTACAAGCTCTGGGTGTTAAAAATATGTTTTAGAAGGTCATAGCAACCTAGTATTGTTGAGTTGGAAGGGATTCTGAGGAACATCTAGTCCAACCCCCTGCAATACAGGAATATGCAGCTGCCCCGTACAATGATCAAACCTGCAACCTTCCAACTGAGCTATTTAAAATTCTTTTTTTGGAAATTTTAATTGGATTCTTATTGATGTGTTTGCCACCTTGGGCTCCTTAGAGGTGGGTGCAGGATATAAAGTCAATAAATAAATGTTTGCTTTCCATTCACTGGCTGCACTTATGTAGTTCAGTTGCTCTTGCACGTAAAATAAGCGACCTCATGTAGCACGTCTCAATTTTTTAGTAAGTGGTCAGCAGGGGAGTTGTTACATATAGAGATCTCCTTACATGCTATGTTCTATGGCTGAGGCTAACTGACCTGTCTCTGTCTCTCTTCCTCTTTCTCTCCCTCCCTCTCTCTCTTTCGCCCCACGCAGTCCGTCTGATGGTCGAGAACCCCTACGAGACCCGCTCAGACAGCTTCTACTTTGTGGACAACAAGCTGATTATGCACAATAAGGCTGACTATGCCTACAACGGAGGGCAGTAGCCGCCGCCGCTGCATCCCCCTCCCCCCCTCCATTGGACTTTGCACTACCGCCAGCCATCCTGGTCACATTGGAGGAGAGCAGGGAAGCTGCCCTGGACTCTGAGGCCTTTTGCGGAAAGCTCTGTGAGGCTCAAGATGTGATGTTGAAGGGGCTGAGGTGGCAACTGGTGACAGTAAAGGAGCTCCCCTGGCAAACCCGAACCCTTTCCAGCCTTGTTCCTTTCTGGTCCTCTGCTCGGTCCCCAGTGGCACCTGGGTCAGGTTACAGGTTGGACTGTCTGTTAAATGTTAAACTGATGTAGCAGTTCTTGTAGTTTGGCGCACTTAGCCTGTATTTCTTGTATGTTCTTCCCCTTTCTGGTGGGCAAAGGGTCCTCCGACACAAAGCTGTTTCCTCTTACAAGTAGCCCATGAAATGTAGATAGCTGGTTTTCCCCCTTTGGAGGAGTGTGGCAGGGCTGGTGAATCACTTTGGCAAAATCGGTGACCCAGCCTGTATGATTGACTGTAAGGGCCCACCATTCACAACCAACCAAAAAACAAAACAAAAAGGAGGAGAGGTGTTGTGTGTTTTTTTAAGGGATGCTCCAGATTGTGGCTTCGTTCTGTGGTCTTGAATGTTCCTTAAACGCTGTTGGGTACCGGTTGGCAAAAAAAGGCCTGCGTCCCACTGTGAGTCTTTGTGAGGTCTTTTGAGGCCTTTTCTGCCAACCAGCTTAGGGGGAGGGAGACTGAGATGAGAATTTCAGCCTGAACACTCCACACACTTCTCCATCCTGCCTTCAGCCTAGGTTCCATTCTGCATCTCAGTTTTGCTCTTTTCCTTTAAAGGAGTGCAAAAGGTGGGCAAAGGTTACCGGGAGCCAGGAATTGCCTGGTGGAGCCTGTCCAAGCAACAGGGCAGATTTTCCCAGGAGAAATCTTCTGTTTGTGTCTCAAAACGTATTAGTGTAAGAAATGGTGGTGTTAACCAGCTTGTATTGCCTGCCTTGGTTTGTGCCGCCGTTGAAGTGGGCTCCATAGGCTCCCCAGTGCAATGAGATGTAACGGAATCAGCGTGGCTGTGAAAATAAGGGACTTTTCCCTCTTGAGATCTGTAGCTCTGAGCTTTTACTGGCTCCATTTAAATGTGTAGGAAACCAGCCAGCTTTTGCTGCTGAGATGCCGCTATGCCTGTTGGTTAGGTGAGGAGGGAGTACTGGATGAGGGCCTGGGGAGGAGGGTGCGTATCAGCCAGGGAAGCAGGAATCTTGCCCTGAGGCGGCTGTCGGCAACTACAAAGCAGTATTTTTGTTGCTGTCGGACTCCACTCCCAGGCCTTTCTCTCGCTTCAAAGTTAAGCTGGTGTTCAAAGGCCTTGCAGTCAGGGGCCGGTTCTGTGTCAGATGCTAATTCAGCCTGCACGGGAGAAGGCCTTCCAGGCTCTTGAGACTAGCCCTTTTTGGAGGGGGGTGGAGGCACACGCACATTACCCTGAAACAAACCCTTTTAGAGAGGGGAGGAGGATAGTTACAGATTAGAGCGTTTGTAGGAGGCGAAACGCAAGAGGAAAATGGCTTGGACTCTTTAGCTGTAAGGTAGGATGTTCTTAACCACTCCCAAAATATTGGGGATGTAATAAAGGTGAAAAGGCCAGAGTTTTTTGTCCCTGTGTAGCCAAGTTTGTGGGTTAACAGAAAAGAAAACCCTCTGTATTTTTGTTCTTGTTTTCTTCCTAACCTGTGATGTTCCAGCTCCTGCACTGCACTGCTCCAGTTGTCTCTACCGATTGATGGTGGTAGTCAGTTCTGCTGCAGTCCGCTTGATGCTTTCCACAGAAAGGTGCCTTTTCTCCCCATGTCCAAGGCCACATTCCCAGAGGAACAGTTGAGGGAAACACTTCCTCATTCCACAGGAGGAGGTGGTGGTGATATGGGGTTCCAGAGTCAATGTGATTAAAAACACCAGGTGCCTTTTAAACATCATTCTTACTGTTGCTCAGGCTCCTTCCGAGGACGTCCCGCCTTTGCTTTCTTACGAATTTATCCCAGGAGCAGTTGGGAAGGATGGGCAGCAATCTGAGCCAAGAGCAGGTACCGTACTTTGCAATAAACTCCCAGCTGCTGGCCCCCTTCTCTGGGCTCCAGATTCTTCTCTTCTCCTCCTTCTCACTTCTTCTTTCTCAAAAACTGAAACTCTCTGCCCCCCCCTTCCTTCCGAGTATTAATACTCTGTATGTCCTTTACAAGCTCCCATCTCTTCAAGGAGAATTGCGAAAACAGTAATGGGGCGAGGGGCTTGCTTGTTAAATTCTGCCTGTTGCTGCTTCTGCCTTGTGGGACCAAATATGTGAAATGGGGAAGGAAGTGTGGGACAGCGAGAGGCAGGTATCCTGATGCCCCAGAGGACGTGGCCAAATGTGTGGATTTGAGCTCTCTGGAACACTTTGCACCAAGAGAGAGAGGGGGGCGGCTCTTTGAATTACCCCACCTGATAGAAGATGAACCTGGCCTCGTCCAGCCGGCACTTTTATCTGTCACTCATGTGGCTGCTGCCCCTTGGGACCACATGCTGCATTCCTGTGTGGAAGCCTGTCTCTCCCTCCCCCACCCCCTGAGCCATCTTCCTGTCGCACTAACACTGCATCCGTGGGTTGCATATGGAAGAGGAGGGGAAGGGTCTGCTTCTGCCATGTTGACCATAGTGTTAGTGCAGGGTGTGGGGGGCTAGATACAAGAACAGCGTTTATCCAAAGACAGGGGCACCTAAATTTATAACTGGAATAGATGGGCCATCTCCCTACTTGCCATTGGAAGGCGTCAACGATTCGTTCTTCCTCCCCAGCCATAACCTGGGGGACGGGGGCTTTCTCGTGGCCTCTGCTAAGTTTGGCAGGCCATCTCCCTGGCTTGATTTCAAGCCCTTGTCTTCCTCTTTGCATGTCCTCGTCCCTCTGGAGAATTGTTAATGAAACTGAGCCCTTCCCTGTTGAATAAACCACACAGGACACTTGAAAGCAAGAAGTGTCTATGAGGAAGGGAAACTGGAAATACATTGACTTCTGTATTGTATGCAGATTGATACTGATGACAGGTTTGCCATGAAAAGTATCTGCCTTAAAAGCATTAATCTGTAAGGTTCACTGTTGCCCTCCAATGGTGTTGACAGCGGCTGCTTCCATCATATACTCTGTGGCTGTGCAGGCACTGAAGTCCTCGCATTGCATTGTCCGCTTGCCCCACCCTAACTAATGGAGAGACCTGGTCATAACAGGGCTGCTCTGTTACATTTCCCATTTGGTGAAGCACCAGCAAACATGTTTGGACCTCCTATGTATTATTATTTTTTTAATTAATGGGGATTTTTATAAGGCCATCAGACCCAGGCAAGGGGATAGTTTATTTCTCAGTCCCACTGATTTTTCAGAGATGTTCCTGGGATGACTGGAAAAAGAAAACTTTTCTGGTATCCTGCGATCGGTTTACCAGCAGGGAGAAGAACATTTGCAGGACTGTGACAAAATGCATCTTTCTCCAGTTTGTCTCTGAATTGGCCATTGGAAAGATTTCCCCTGCAAGATTTGTTTTTAAAATAGGGTTTTCTATTCCATTGTGGTCCTTGCCTGACAATAATATACCAATTTTTGGTCTGTCTGTGTGCATCTGTGACCGTTTGGAGAGTGGCAGGTTGTTCCTTTTAAACTTGTGAATTCCAGAAAAGAGATCACGGACGTTATATTTTTCTGTCAAGGTATTTTTCCATAGAGGATGACAGGAGTGTCCCAAGAAGTCTGTGTGACCATTACGATCACCACATTGAACCGTCGCCATGCTGTTGTCATATTGTGTGTCTCCTAAACCTACAGTATACTAGCTGACTCGTTTGTATAAAATGTTACTTTGTTGAAAGCAATAGTAATTAAAAACAAAAAAGCAAAAAAAAAAAACATCAACACACAGCTACTGTTGTCTTATTTGTTGCGTGACCTTAGTGCTGGGAGCTGGGTGGGTGGTGACCAGGCAGGTCTTGCGTATTGTGGACCTGGAAAACGCTGAAAATACAAGTGGGTAATAAAAAGGTCCAGATCACCTTAGAATAGGTGCTAGCTGTTGAAGAGAGGCTGGGCAGGAGATAGGGGCTCATCAGTGTCCTTTAATTCCTGGTTGAGGTTATGGTGGGGGCTGTTTTGGGACTAGAATAGGAGCAGCATTTCAGAGGCCCTCTTGGTTCCAGCATCCAAATATAACATGGCTTTGTCACTGCTCCAACAACATGAGTTTGCATGATTTCATGGGAATACCTTTTAAGAGGACATAAAAACTGCATTGGTTGAAGCTCCATCTGGCCCAGGGGGCTCTTCCTGACACAAGACCAGCCAGTTGGCTCTGGGAAGTGACCAGGTAGAGCATGTAGCAATAGAATCATAGAGTTAGAAGGGTCTTCTAGTTAAACCCCCTGCAATTGAGCCCTGGGTGGGCTCAAACCTCCAACCTTCTGGTTAGTTGCCAGGCGCATAGCACCACAGGAGAAGCCATTACTTGTTTATCCCCTGCATCTGTCAGTAAGATTTATCACGGATTGTGTGATCTTCATGATGTGCTCTGGAATGTCAAGATTCATATTCCCCCGTCTGTGGAATGCTCTCCCCAGAGAGGCTCCTCTGGCATGTTCGATACATACCTTTTCTCACCAGGTGAACCTTGCATACATGTGCTTGGGTTTGTTAGTATTTTGCTTCCTTGCAGTAAATTTTAAAACTTTACATTCTTAATAAACGCCTATTAGCACTTTCCAAGAATAAAACCCTCAAATGTGCGGTTGCACAAAATCTAACATTTGAAATAGGTAAAGGGACCCCTGACCATTAAGTCCAGTCGTGGCCGACTCTGGGGTTGCGGCGCTCATCTCGCTTTATTGGCTGAGGGAGCCGGCGTACAGCTTCTGGGTCATGTGGCCAGCATGACTCTGGCAAACCAGAGCAGCGCATGGAGACGCCGTTTACCTTCCCACTGGAGTGGTACCTATTTATCTACTTGCACTTTGACGTGCTTTCGAACTGCTAGGTTGGCAGGAGCAGGGACCAAGCAAGGGGAGCTCACCCCGTCACGGGGATTCGAACCGCCGACCTTCTGATCGGCAAGCCCTAGGCTCTGTGGTTTAACCCACAGCACCGCCCGCGTCCAACATTTGAAATAACCTCAAATAAAACGCATCTCATTTCATAAAAGTTATACACCACTTGATAGTAAAAACAACTCAAAAGTGGTTTACGAAAAAGAAACGTAAGAATTATCAATAATTTAAAGACTTGAAAAGGTAAAAAAAAAATAGAAACTTGCATCTACTTTATGGTTATTAAACATGATTAAAACCAGCATGACAGGCCCAGACCCTTCACTTTCTTTCTCATCCTGGGGGGCGGGGGAGGTTTAGCTTCAGGCATTTTTTTCCATTTCAAAAAAAATTAAATGAACCGACCCAGTGCAAAGTGCTGAAAAGTGTTTTTTTAAAAAAGCCTTCCAAAAAAATAAAAAATCTTCCAATGGTTAAAAAAAAGAAACGTTGGGGGAGGGGCTGGGAGCTTATTAATGCTAATGAGGAGGCGGAGCTTAATGAGGCAGGCAGGAAGGGCAGCAAAAGAGGGCGGTCTATTCCTGGGCTCAGCATGGCGGCGGTGACGGGTCTCCTCGCGCGGCGCAGAGGCGGCATTGGAGGTAAACAGGCGACCAAGTTTAATTGTCTCCCCCCGCAACTTTTGAGCGCTCCCCTTGGTACACGCCGGGAGCCGCACGGCTTTTACGGAGGGGGACTGGCACGTACCAAGGAGAGATGGAAGCGGGGGGTGGGGTTAGATGAGCGGGAGCAAAATACTGGGGAAGACTCTTTTACTTCGTGAGGGGCAGCAGCAGTTGGGGTGGGGGAGGGAATCTAAGGAGCGGCTCCCTTTCTGGGGGCTTCTTCCACACACCCCTGGGACCCTTCACATACCACTGTGGGATAGCTCAGAGGACCCTCCATGGACAGGGGCAGTCTATCTCAAAATAATACCGGCTGCAAATCACAGCCACCTTCACGCCCAGATTGCAAGTATCCAGAAGCTGCACCCGGGCTCAGTGGCCCTTTGGATCTCAGTTGGCAAGCCCGCTCACTCTCTGTATATGTATAAAAATATACTGTATTGAGCTCTCCGTGGGCCTGCCTTTGAAGACTGTTTGGAAACCTTTCCTGGTGCAAACTGTAGCTGAGCAAATGCTTGTCCAAACGCCAGTGTTGCGGCACCAGCCCCACTTGTGCATTTCCAGACTTAGCCCAAGATGCTGCCGTTAAAACATGAGTGGCCATAAATGGCTTGGAGCCAGCACCCCTAAAAGCCAGTCTTCAACTGAGTGGGACTACCAGGTCACAGCCTTAGCCAAATGGGGGTTTGCATCCCCAACACTGGCACCATACAAATACAGTGATACCTCGGGTTACAGACACTTCAGGTTACAGGCACTTCAGGTTGCAGACTCCGCTAACCCAGAAATAGTACCTTGGGTTAAGAACTTTGCTTCAGGTGAGAACCGAAATCTTGCGGCGGCAGCGGGAGGCCCCATTAGCTAAAGTGGTACCTCAGGTTAAGAACAGTTTCAGGTTAAGAACAGACCTCCAGAATGAATTAAGTTCTGTACAGTGGTACCTCGGGTTAAGTACTTAATTCGTTCTGGAGGTCCGTTTATTTCGTTTTAAATAAATTAGGAGTCCCCAAAAGCATGTTCTCTGGTCCATGGGGTCACGAAGAGTCGGACACGACTAAACAACAACAAAATGCATGTTTGAGTAAAGAAGCTATAGCCCTTCTCCTATAAATACAGTAAGATTCCAGTCCTCATTGTTCTGGATAAAGACCTGGTTTAAATAGTAACAAGGAAGCTGCCACCCTACTGGTCCATCTAGCTCAGTATTGTCAACACTATCAGAAGCCAGGATTTCAGGCAGGGAGCCTCTCCCAGCCCTCCCTGCCAGGGATTTAATTTGGGACCCTCTGCATGCAAGGGGGTGGTAACTGTTGTTCGATGTGCGGAAGGCATGTTTCTAATGTAGGGTGTTAATAAGACGGCAGACTTGGCAAGGCCAGCCAGGAAAATGCAGGCCTTGAGGCCTTGCTTGCTTTCTCACCTCTAGCAAGGGGTCTGCAGAGGGAGGGGCATGGCTCCTTTCACCTTTCCGCTCAGTTGGCCAGGAGCCCGTGGGCGTCTGTCGGTTTGCTGCTCCCTCTCGGATTGCAATTCATCTCCCTGCAATTCCTCTTCTGTTCTTTACAAGCCGGGTGTCTTTTATAGGCAGATAAGCTTTTGCCCCTGCTGTAAAGTTGGACGGTACTACTTGTCTCCTCTGCATTGGGTGCTGTAAAATGAAAAGACCCTGAGGCGGGGTGCTGGGTTTGCAGGTTGAAAGCAGCTTCTGGGTGCTTGAGTTTTAGGAGCTTGTGTCACCCCCTTTGTTTTGTGCACTGAGGACTTTAACCCTGACCTCCCCAGTGGAAAGGGACAGGGGCAGATCTTCAGCCTAGCCTAGCCTGACTAATTCTTCTGCTCACTCAGCAGCTAATGCCGCAAGAAATCTTGCAGACTCTTTTGCTAAACATGGCTAGAGACATCTCTTTTTTTCTTTTTGCCCCTTTGCAGAGACCAGAACATAGACAGAGTCAGAGCATTGGTACATGGAGCTCAGTAATGTGCAAACTGACTGGCAACAGCTCTCCAGGCTTTCGGACATTCCCAGCCAGATAGGCGGGGTATAAACAATAAAATTACAGTGGTACCTCGGGTTAAGTACTTAATTCGTCCCGGAGGTCCGTTCTTAACCTGAAACTGTTCTTAACCTGAAGCACCACTTTAGCTAATGGGGCCTCCTGCTGCCGCTGCGTCACTGGAGCCCAATTTCTGTTCTTATCCTGAAGCAAAGTTCTTAACCTGAAGCACTATTTCTGGGTTAGCAGAGTGTGTAACCTGAAGCGAATGTAACCTGAAGCATATGTAACCCGAGGTACCACTGTATTATTATTATATTACCTAGCAATGCTGTAAGGGACATTCTGCATGCCAAGCTCGTAGAGCTTCAGCCATTCCCAAGTAGGATTGCAGGAAGTTGCCTTATACCAGGGGTCGGCAACCTAAGGCCCATGGGCCACAAGCAGCCCATGGGGGTCGTTTAACCGGCCCATGGACCCCTGCCGCCCGCTTGGTCGGCTCCCGTGCGCTGCACTAAACTGGAGCAGAGCGGGGACCGCCTTCCGTGATGCTGGCCGGCTTCCCATTGACTGCAGGAAGCTCCTGCAGCCTCTGGGAAGCTGTGCACACCTCATCCACGCTGGAAGTAGCTTTTTTCTATGTGTGCATGCACACACGTGTGCACACTCCAGTCCACTGCGGCATCTGCGGGACTGTGAACTGGCTCAAGCCACAAAAACTTTGCTAACCCCTGCCTTGTGCCATTGGTCTATCAAGCTCAGTATTGTTCATCCTGACTGGCAGGGGCTCTCCAGGCTTCCCTGCAGGGCGTCTCTCCCAGCCCAACCTAAAAATGCTGTAGATTGAACCTTGTACCTTCTGCATGCAAAGCAGATGCTCTATCACTGATAGGGTGTCCTGTTTAGCAGCGCAGCTCTACATCTTCTGGGCCAGACTGAAAGGGCTCTTCATGCTTTTCCATTTGCAGCTTGGACTTTTCAATGTCTGCGAAGGCTGCACACTGTATACCAGACGGTAGAATTGCCGGAAACTCACCAGATGCTTCGCCAGACATGCCGGGACTTCGCTGAAAAGGAGCTGGCCCCCATTGCTGCTCAGCTGGACAAGGAGCATCGCTTCCCTGCAGAGCAGGTACATATGTGGCTCATCTCCGGGTAACACAGGTCCCCTGTCTGATATTCTGAATGACCCTAAAGGCCTGTTGCAATCCAGCAAGTTTGTCC